TGTACAGTATTTTCACAATAAAAAAATGTACAAGTTCACACTTTGCACTACAGTGTGGTTCTTTTAAAAGTAGACATCTCTGAGATAATTCCCTCCCCGCCCCCCCAAAAAACCCCAAAAACTACCTATTTGGATTAAAAAGGAAAACAAAATTAAAAGGTCATTCTAAATGTAAATATTCTAAAAGAATTCTAATAGATTTGCTAAGCAGAAAGCAGAACAGTAGCTGCCCAGAGCCTGGAATGTAAAGCACAGGATTCCACAGTCCCAAACCAATGAGAATTGTACAAGTAAGCTTTCAATTAGAAGCTGGCATCGGAGGAGGGGAGGGAAGTGAGGCTCATCAGAGGAAGAAAGGGAAAGGCCCCCAGATTGCTCTGCCACAGGACAGTTCCCCCTACACCCCCTCTCTGGGCTGTGACATTCTGATATCACCCCCTCTGAGCTAAAGAATATAATTATCCACTTACTCCACCCTAAAAGAACACTGGAGCCAAGCACTAGTGGCTCATACCTGTAATCCTAGCTACTCAGGAGGTTGAGATTTGAGGGTCATGGTGTGAAGCCAGCTCAGGAAACAAAAAAGTGTATGAAACTCTTATCTCCAATTAACCAGCAAAAGAAGTGGTACTGTGTGGCGTAAGTGGTAGTGTGTTAGCTTTGAGCAAACATGCTACTGGAGACCAAACACCCTGGCCCTGAGTTCAAGCCCCCCCCCCCAAACCTCCCAAAATGTACAAAACTACCATCTAAATTGTATTTATTACTAGGGCTTGAACTCAAGACCTCAAGCTCTCGCCTGGCTTTTTTGCTCATGGGTGGTACTCTACCACTTACTTAATTGGAAATAAGAATATCTCAGATTTGTCTGCCCAGGGTGGCTTTTAAACTGTGATCTTCAGATCTCAGTTTCTTGAGTAACTACCAAAAACTTCCATTTAAAACACTGGATAGAATATATATAGAATGTCAACACACTGTCTTTTTTCTAGCTACAATCTGTGTTTCATAAAGCATGAATGACCAAAACAAAACATAAAACAACCACAAGATCAACAGCATTACCCACTCAGCCAGAGGTGGGGAGACATGGGCTACTAGTATCTGTTTACTCACTAGTTATATTTACATATCCAATGAATATAAGTGCATTTAAACAAGGCTATAGCATTTTTCTACACTTCAGCATATTGACACAGGAGATGCATTAAAAAAATTAACCTTAATCAAGATACCTACAAAACACAGCATTAGGAAATTATGTAAGTGGTTCATGGCTGTGTCTCTAAAACTACTAATAAATTAATTTCTTCTTTTATGAACCCTGGTACTTAACACCAGACCTTAACACTCCTACCAAAAGGTATTTTTTTGTTGTACTTTTGTTTTCTTCTTTTTTTGTGTCAGTGCTGGGGCTTGAATTCAGGACCTATCTCTTAGTTTCTTCCCTTAAGGTGGGTGCTCTACCACTTGAGCCAAAACTCGACTTCCAGCATTCTGGTGGGTAACTGGAGAAAAAAAGGTCTTCTAGACTTTCCTGCCCTGGCTGGCTTTGAACCTTTTGCCTCAGATCTCAGCCTCCTGAGTAGCTAGGATTACAAGCGTGGGTCAGCAGTACTGGGCTCAAAAGGTAGGTTTTAACACTGACCTAAATAACACAAAGGCTGTAGCCAAACCAATTTACCTACCCCCGCTTTTTTTTTTTCCATTACAGAGCTCGCGAGTAAGTTTCAGCAAATCCCTTAACCTCTCTCTTCAAGGACTATCTTCAACAAAACAAGGCAAACAGAGTATCTTTCTCAGCAGTATTGTGAGGATGATACTGGGTAAAGTGAAAGGGTATCTAATATACACAGAACATTAAATTAACATTTCACAGTAGGACCCACTGGCCAGGATGGCAGGTAAAAGGTGAAATTTGTGTTTTCAAATATCCTGAGAGGTATTTAATTCTCATCAGGAGCTACTTTAGTAAGCGAATTTAGGTTACAAGAAAAAATATTTCAAATAAAGAAATATTTTGGAGGGAAAATTTCTGGGTACAGCTCTGACCTTTGGTCCTGTCTGTCCCAGGTAAGTTCCAGGGCCCAGGAGGCCAGAGACGCACAGAGTTGAGCCTCAAAACCTGGGACTTCTCTCTTCCTGCCTCTCCTCTGCTAGACTTTCTATGAGAGTGCTGCCTGGAGAGACTCAGGACTCTTGTATTTAAAGTGGAAACAAGCCAGGTGCCAGTGGCTCACACCTGTAATCCTAGCGACTCAGGAGGCTGAGATCTGAAGATGGAGGTTTGAAGTCAACCTGGGCAGAAAAGCCCATGAGACTCTTATCTCCAATGAACCACCAAAAAGCCAGAGATGGAGCTGTGGCTGAAGTAGCAGCACCCAGACCTAGAGTTCCAAGCCCTAGGACTGGCAAAATAATAATAATAATACTAAAATAGCAACAGTATCTCTCAAAACCCACAATTGGATAATAACACCAAGCCACTAGAGTGAAACAAAAACATTCCAAGTTAAAAAGAACTTAAAGACAAATGTTTCAGACACAGGAAAAGAATTATCTGTGTACAGATTCCTCCATACTCCCCACAGAAGTGAATAAAAGCAATGTAAAAAATACATAAAAGTTGGGCTGGGAAGGTGGCTCAGTGGTAGAGCGCTTGCCTTGCATGCTCGAGGCCCTGGGTTCGATTCCTCAGCACCACATAAGCAAAAAGAAAAAAGCCGGAAGTGGCGCTGTGGCTCAAGTGGTAGAGCGCTAGCCTTGAGCTGAAGAGCTGAGGGACAGCACCCAGGCCCAGAGTTCAGGCCCCACAACCAGACCCCCCCAAAAAAAATACATAAAAGTAATGTAAGCATGTTTTCCTTCCTTTCTTCCTCCCTCCCTCCTTCTCTCTGGCTATAAATGCAACATGCATTTCTATTGATCCACTTTTAGTTAATAACTAATAATAATGCTCTTCCTAAATAAAGGCAGACATATCATTATTTAAATATTTAATTTTATATTATGCCTAACTTAAGAAGACATCAAGAATGATAATCCTAGTCAGGAACCAGTAGCTACTCCAAAGGGCACAGTCTGAAGCTAACCCAGGCAGTGACGTCTAAGAGACTTCATCTCTAAAATAACTAGCAAAAAAAGAGGTTAGAGACATAGCTTGAATGGTAGAGTGCCAGCAGAGCAAGCAGGATGAGCAAATATGAGACTCTGAGTTCAAACCCTCAGACTCCCCTGCTGCCAGAATATTAATCGTATAACGAAGTTATAGGATTACTCCTATAAGGAAGTGCTGAAGACAGTTAAAAAAAACACAAAAGCAAAACACAGGCATGGTGGTGCACTCTTGTAATATCAGCACTCAGGAGGCAAAGACAAGAAGATCAAGAGTTTGAGGCCAGCTTGGTTTGCATAGAGAAACCCTGTGGGCCTATCTCAGGAAGGAGGGAAGGGAAGGAAGAAGGGAGGAAGGGACAGAGGGAGAGAGGGAAGAAGAGAGAGGGGAGGGAGGAGAGAAGAGAGAGGGAGGGAGGGAGGAAAGGAAAGTCTTAGAGAAAGATAGGAATACAGAGTAAGACAAAACAGGAGATACATAGAAAGAGTTCCTATTTTTATTTTTTTATGTGGTATGAAGGTTTGAATCCAGGGCCTCAAATTTGCTAGGCAAGCATGCTACAACTTAAGCCATAGTCCCAGCCCTTTTGGCTTTAGTTTATTTCTCAGTGTCTTGACCTTTGGATTCTGATCATCCTTCCTCCACCTCTCGCATTGTTGCGAATACAGGTGTGAGCACTGCTCTCAGCCCAGAAATAGTTCATTTTTGGGTTGCATTTCCGTTTGCCATAGTTATATTATTTGAGTCAATGATCAAATCACTGGGTAAAAGCAAGACTCACCCTGACTCTTCACATGAGTAAACCAAAGGTGTAATTTAAATTTATGCAATTTTTTCAGGTTACATGATTGCTAAGGGACAATCAGAAGAATGAAAGTTAACCAGTCAGATTGACATAACTGCCAATATGACTTGAAAAGATGAATAACTATGGAAAAAAATCATACACAATTGAGTTTTTAGGAAGGAAGTCTTCTGAAGGTACAAGTTTTGTTTTGGTGGTGGTGGTGGTGGTGTGAGTGTGTGTGTGCACCAGTAGTGGGGCTTGAACTCAGGACCTGGGTGCTATCCCTTAGCTTTACGTGAGGCTGGCACTCTACCACTTAACCACAGTTCTACTTCTGGCTTCTTGCTGGTTAATTAGATATAAAAATCTGATAGGCTTTCTTGTCCAGGCCAGCTTCATACCATAATCCTCAGATCTCAGCCTCCTGAGTAGCTAGGGTTATAGCGGTGAGCCACTGGCACCTGGCAGGTGAAAGGTATTCAAAGTGCATTGTGTTTTAGAGACCGTAATGAAAAGGGTTTCTGATGCACAGAACTCTTCATGAAGAACAGAAATGGCTGAATTACAGCTAATAACGTGAGTGTTCTAAATCAAAGTATCAGAAAAAAACCTTTTTCTCCCAGTGCTCAACTGAAGAACTATCTGTTTGGATTCATAAAAAGAAAAAAGAAATATGCCTTTAATAACAGCCGCTCACAGGTCATTCCACAGCAGCTCGTTACAGAAACCCTAAGTAGCAAGAAAATACAGCGGACTCAATCACACCCATTTTGGATGCAGTCTCATTCCTACACAAATGAAGACATGAGAAGGAAGAGAGATGAATTGGTGTCATTAAGTGGGAGCTCCAACAGTGGCTGAGAGGAGAGGAAAAGGCCCTCAATTCATTACGAGTGATTTCTACCCTCTCTTCTCACACACGGCGTATTACCAAGGCTGGCATTTGGATTTCATAGCCAGCCATTTAGCAACGTGTCAGAGCACAAACGCTTCATCCGGGGAGCGAGGGGCCAACCAAGCCGTGCAGCTGCAGAGGTGGCAGGCAGCTGCATCCCCCCGCGATTCGGGACATGTAATGTGCAAATGAAAACCTCTCACCTTGCTGCTGTGATCCGTCTCATCTGAAGACTCCATATCTGGCCCTTCGGTGTCTTCTGGAGCCGTGTCCGCGCTGCTGCCCTGCTCGCTGCAGAGGCTGTGTCCTGCCAGAGGAAACCACAGGAAAACGTGGGTCTAAGTGAAGAGCCATGGCTGGAAGCCACCCCTGTGATGGACAACTGGGGAGTCCAGCTCAGGAAGTGGGTGCCTATTGTTAGACCTGCCAGGTACAAAGGACATTCTCAATTCAAGAGATGATCATTTGACGCCAAGCACTGGTGGCTCACGCCTGTCATCCTAACTACCCAGGAGGCTGAGATCTGAGGATCACGTTTTGAAGCCAACCCAGACAGGAAAGTCCATGAGACTCTTCTCTCCAAGAAACTACTCACAAACAGCCAGAAGTGGCGCTGTGGCCCAACTGGTAGAGTACTAGCCTTGAGCCAAAGAAGCTTAGGGACAGCGTCCAGGCCTAGTGTCCAAGCCCCAGGACTGGCGAAAGATAAAGAGAGAAAGAGAGAAAGGGAGAAAGAGAGAAGGAGAGGAAAGAAGGAAAGAAGGAAGGAAGGAAAGAGAGAGGGAGAAGGGAAGGGGAGGGAAGGGGAGGGAAGGGAAGGGATCATTTTAGTTATTACTATTTTATTTCAATTACATTTTGTAATGTATAATATATTCAAAAATATATATATTCAAAAATACACAATCATCATTGTTGTGAAATTTCTACACCTTTCCACAACCGACTCTCACCACCCCACACACGTCTTCTGTTGAAGCCCTGACTACCCAGGCCAGGTGAATGGTATTGGTATATAATGGTTGAACTTTGGGGAGATAAACGTCAGCTTAAGTCTTGAGCAAAGACCTTGCTGATGATGGGGCTAGTGTCCTTATGTGGGGAAGAGACTGAGCCAGGGACCAGTGGTTCATATCTACAATCCCAGCAACTAAGGAGTCTGAGATCTGAAGACTGAGGTTCAAAGCCATCCTGAGCATGAAAGTCAGTGAGACTCTTGTCTCCAATTTATCACCAAAAAAAAAGCAGGAAGTAGAACTGTGGCTCAAGTGGTAGAGAGAGTACTAGCCTTGAGCAAAAATAAGCTAAACAACAGCACCCAGGTCCTGAATTCAGGCCCGGTATCAGTGCACATGTGTACACACAGAGGAGGAGACTGACATGCTCTCTTTCTCTTCCTGCCATGGGAGGACTCAGAAAGATGGAGGCTGTCTTCCAGACAGGACAAGAGCCCTCGCCAGGGAACCAGAAGAATCAGCACACGGAAAGCACGACCCGTGACCCGTGACAGGGAACAGAGAGCTGACTGAGAGCTTCTTTGCATCAAGTGAGATGTGTAATCCACACAGGAATTGCAACTTTTGATTTTGAAGTTTCTTGCAATTTGCTATTCTCTTTTAATCGCACTTGGTCATGTGTAATAAGGTAAGCTTACAAAACTTACTTTGGCAAACAGAACTTCCAAAGCTGAAACTATAGACACAGAATTATACTCCTACCCCCAAAAGGAGCTGCAAGTATGTATGGCTCAGTGGTACGATGCTTGCCTAGCACACACAAAGCCCTAGATTTGATCTCCAGTACTCCCTAGATAAACAACAAGATGCTCTTCAAGAAAGAGAGTATAGGGCTGGGAAGGTGGCTCAGTGGTAGAGCGCTTGCCTTGCATGCATGAGGCCCTGGGTTCGATTCCTCAGCACCACATAAGCAAGAAGAAAAAAGCCGGAAGTGGCGCTGTGGCTCAAGCGGTAGAGTGCTAGCCTTGAGCTGAAGAGCTGAGGGACAGTGCCCAGGCCCAGAGTTCAGGCC